TTTGAGCCTGCTGGGGTACACGGTGAGACCAGGTCTAAAAAAAAAAAAAAAAAAAAAGACTGAAAACAAAATGGTTTTTTGTTGTTTTTAGCTAGGCGCTTCTCAGGTGGCTGGGATCTCATGGTTCCTACCCTTGTGTCTACCTGACACATCCTCCTACAGAGCATGAAGAGCCACGGGAAGAGCGGCCGCGGCCCGGGCTGCACGCCAGGGTGCGCAGGGCGACCTCATGACTCAGCGGTTCCAGCTCCCAGCCGAGGCCCGAGGGAACCGAAACAGGTGCCCAATAAAACCCCCGCACCCTAACCACCCAGATGCCTCGCGGAGGCTCTGCGGGACCGACCGGGGATGACCCGGCAGGTAGGGTGCGGGGCCTCCCCGGGAGTGGGCTGAGCGCCCCGAATTGGCCCTTTGTAAGGGGAAAACGGTGCTTTTCATACAGTAAAACCAAGAAAATAAATGAATAAATGCATAAACGCGTTGCTTAAGGAGCAGTCCCGGGCTGGGCGTGCGGGGAGCAAACGCCCTCCAGCTCCTTTCTGGCTCTTGCCCTGCAGAACCCCAGCACTGAGGGTGCCAGCCAGGACTGGTGGGGTCGGGATTTGAACTCGGGTCCCGTCTGAACCGCGGCTCCCCCAGGACGCGGGGAGCACATACTGCGCCTGTGCGGTGAGGCGCGCCTGCTCCCGGCTCCTGGCCGTGTGACCCGGGCATGACCAGTCCCTGCCTGTTTGTCGCCCCTGAAGTGCAGGTACTGAGTCCATCTCGTCGGCCAGGGACACTATCCCAAGCACCCGTCTGGCTCATGCTCCTGAAGACGTTCCCTGTGTTTCTGCTTTCGTGTGCCTGTCATCTCAGCTAGTCAGGAGGCTGAGGCAGGAGGATCACAAGCTTGAGCCCAGTCTGGGCTACCTTGTCTCAAAAAATAAAAAGGTCTGAGGATGGAGGTTTTGTGCAACGACCCAGGTTCAATCCCAGGTCAAACCCAGTATCAGAAAACAACAAAAAAGCCTCTGGCCGCACCGGGTGTCTGGCCAGAGCCGTGTTTGCCGAGGCCTCGGGAACTGGAAAGTGAGTCCCTCTCTCCTGGCACGGGGCCGAGGGACCTAGAGTGCAGCCAGGTGCAGGCGATCCCGAGGTCACCTCTGCCCTACTGTGGCCCCGCTGAGGTCAACCCTGGCGGCCTGCCCGCAGGTCACCTGCTCCCCCTGCCCACCCTGGGAGCCGTGAGCTCATCGGCTACAGTTGTGCCACCCCCAGGCGCAGTGAGGTGGAAAACTGCATGCGTGTCCCTGCACCAGGAGACCTACGGGGGCGGGCTGCCTGGTCACCCTTGGGAAATTCCATGAATAAAGTTAACCAATGACTGCTACTACTCTTAAAGGGACAGATGCCCATCCAGGCCCGTGGTGCCCCTGGGAGCACAGCTGGTGGACTACTATACAGCACTGAAAAAGGAGGAAGCACCTGGGCATGGTGCCACATGCCTGTGATCCCAGCTATTAGGGAGGCTGAGGCAGGAGGATCTTGAGTTCCAGCCCAACCTGGGCAACTTAGTGATTTAGCAGGACATTGTCCCAAAATTAAAAATAAACAGGCTGGGGACCTACCTCAGTACAAAGGGCATGGGTCCAGTCCCCAGTACTGGAAAAAATAAAAGCCACATGGTATGTGACCTCACTGGCAGGAAGCATTCAGCCTAGCCAAATCCAGAGGCAGGAAGCCAGTCAGTGCCTTCCAGGGGCTGGGGATAGGTCACGGGCCAGGATCCTCTCTAGGGGACGGAAATGTCCTCGAACAGGCAGAAGTGTGGTCATGTGCCCCACAGTATGGCTGCCACAGAATCTGGGTCCCAGTGGCGACCACTGTGCTTGCTCTGTGGGCCCCGAGCTGGGGACCATGAGGAAGAGATTCTCAGTGACCTCCTGGGACCAAGGAGGTCCCAGGGATGCTGCCCACCTCTGTGCACACCAAGACCGGGTGAGCCCTGCTGGGCCTGGGCCCCTTTACCCTGGAAAGGGCTGTGCTTGACGGGGCCATGTGAGCGGTGGATTTATTGAGCATCTACTGCACATCGGGTGTCACACGGGTCCCCTCCCTGAAGCCCTTGGGATAGGCTGGGCTCACCCGGGGTGGAGGTGGCCAGGGCTGTGCTGGAGCAGGGACCCCCAGGGGCACCAGCCCAGGGCCACCAGTCCCCTGCTGAGGGGTGAGTGGCACCTTGGAGCCCCTTCCTCTCGATGTCTTTTGTTTTGTGACTCCCGTTCTCTTGCTGAGGTCTGGGGGACTGAACCCCAGGCGCTGTGCCACTGAGCTACCTACCCAGCCCTCTGAAAATCCGTGTCTGGAGACAGGGGCTCCGCTAAGTTGCCCAGGCTGGCCTGGTGATGCTCCTGTCTCAGCCTCCTGAGTAGCTGAGGTCACAGGTGTGCCCCCACTTTATGCAGAACCAGGAGGTGCAGAGAGGCGCCCCGGTTGATCTCACCTGGCTGGGGCAGGCGCCCCGAAGCTGTACCAGCGCCACGCTGGTGAGGTTTCTGCGGTGGTCCCCAGGGGGCGCCCTTCCCCAACCCGCGCGGCGCTTGGGACTCTCAGGACCTGCGAGTCCTGGAAAGACTACCAGGGAGGTTGAGGCAAGAGGGTCGCAGGTTCGAGGTCTGTGCAATTTGGAGACCCTGAACCTGGGACCCCAGAAAGCAAACAAAACGGATAACATTTGTTATCCTCTGTGTCCTTGAGGGCAATGAGAGAAGCCAGTCACCCGCTGGACACCTGGGCCTTTGTTCTGTGGCTTGGGGAGGGTGAGGCACCTGTCTGGGGCACACAGCACGGCCTGCGCTGGGATTTGAACCCTGGTCGGTGTCTACACCAGGAGAGCAGGTGTCCCTGCTGCAAGTGGCACATGGGTGGGGTCTCTGCAGCAGGGTCACCCCTGTACCCTTCTGTGGAATCCAAGTACTTTCCATCCTGCCCTTAAAATTTGGGGAGGAAGAGGGAGGCAGACACTGTTAGTGCTGGGAGGTGAGCTCCTGGCCTGAAGGAGGGTTGGGGAGTGACAGCCCTTGCTTAGCCTGCGAGGGCAATGTCAGAGGTTTCTGAAGAGGAGATTTTCCGAGTAGGGTTTTGAAGCATGTGCAGGAGTTCCTCAGAGGTGGACTAGTCACTGCCAAGCAGAATGGACTATTAAACATCTACTATGTGCCTGTCTTGCCCTTTACCCTTCATCTACAGCTCTGTAGAGGAAGCCTGGGCCCCTCTTTGCCTGAGCAGGACAGGGCTTGCCCAAACTTGCCCCTTCTGGTCCTTTCTTGTCCTTTGTTTCTTGCTTTGTGTACTTTTTGAACCTCTCAGTCTCTGGTCCCTGCCAGAGAGAGGAGAGGTGAGTCACGAAACAAAAGACATCCACAGGAAGGGGCTCCTAGGCACGACTCACCCCTCAGCTGGTGCCTCTGGGGGTCCCTCCCAGAGAGAGGAGGGCAGGGGCCACCTGTCCAGTCCTCTGAGACAAAGCCACACTGTCAGGGCCGCCACCGATGGTCTCTGGTGCTCCGGACCCTGTCGCGCGCCGGGTCCCGCCCCCTTGCTCCGTGGTCACCGGAGTCCGCGGGGCGGGGCGGGGCGGGCGAAGTCCAGGTCCATAAAGGCGCGGCCAGGCGAGCGGCGGCCACAGCCATGCTGGGTCCGGGACTCACCCTGCTGCTCCTCACGGCTATGTCGCAGCCGCCGCCCGGGGGCGCTCTGGCCCCAGCCAAGAAGCTTCCCGAGGACCCAGATCCGGATCCGGACCCGGCCGTCTACACATCCCAGGAGCTGCGGAGACGCTTCCAGGACCTGCTGGCCCGGCTGCGGGCGAACCGGAGCTCAGAAGCCTTGAACGCCGACCTCAGCCCCGCGCCTGTGGTCCACACGCTCACCCCTGAACGTGAGTGCCATCCCGGGTCCCCATCACTTCCCGGGGCTCCTCTTCTAACTCGCCCGAAGCCTCAGGCTTCCCACTGGGTAAAGGACCCTGTTCCTCTCCTGCGCCTCCCGGAGTAACCGGGATCTTTGTGTGCAAAGACCCGGTACGGATCACACCGCAGCTGCAAGGGTCCCGCAGCGCGATGGGGAGGCGGGGCCTAGAGACGCCAGGCCCGGGGCGCACAGCGCCGGGAACTCGGGGACCCGGGAGAACTCGGGGACCCAGGCGGCTGCCGAGGAGGGCGC